CAAGCCAAGCTCTGCCCGCTCATTTGGAGCTGGCATTCACTATGGAACTGTCCCCTTCTGTCTATCATCTCCCAGCATTTCCTGGCAAGCCCAGGGAAGACTGGTTTCCTTGTGGACAAAACAGTCTCCTACCGTGGCTCTCTTTCACATATCTCACCCCTTAAGGCACTTTTTGGTGATCTTATTTTAGTACCTGGGATTTCTGTTTCCTCATCTCTTCTATCTTTTGGTGATGATTCCTTCATTCCAGGATCTCCCACCATATGACACTGAAAGGAAATCAGCTATGACATTGGTTTTGCATGATCTATGTTTGATCTACGTTCAATAGAGAATTGGAAAGGTTGCATTGTGAAAGCCTATCTCATGATATGGACATTGTCTGCTTTAGCTGATTGTAGCTACTTCAGGGAAGCATCATCTGGTATTAGCTTAAACTCCTGACCTAACACATAATATTGGAAATACTCTGTGCTCCACCTGAGGGCTAAGCACTCCTGCTCAATGCTAGCATATCTTCTCTTGTGTTCATTTAATGTCTAGCTAGCATATGCCACTGGTTTCTCATGCCCATCCATGACCTGGGGTAATATGGCCGCAGTGGCTTCCCCTGAAGCATTGACCTGTAATATGAAATGCTTGGAAAAATCAGGAGGGTGAAGCATCACATGTTGACATAAAGCCTTTTTAGTAACTGCAAATGCCTCCTCTTGTTGTTTATTCCATACCAGTTGGATATTTCTCTTTTCTTTAATGGCATCAGTGAGCAGATTGTAAATTTCTGAAAAATGTGGAATAAACCTACAGCAGTAGCTTGCCAAGCCCCAAAAGGTTCTCATTTGTCTTTTGCTTTTTGGGGGTGGTATAGTTTATTATTGCCTCTACTTTGTCAACAAGAGGTTTTATTTGTCCTCGTCCAACTATGAATCCAAAGTATTGAGTCTGTGCTTGACCCAGAGTACACTTCTTATGGTTAGCCATCATCCCCATCTGTCTAAGTTCTCTCAACATGGCTCTTATTACTTCCAGGTGTTGTTCCCACCCCTCAGTATAAATTATGATGTCATCAATACATGCTGTGACATAACTCTGGTGGGGCGCTAAAATCCAGCCCATCCGTCTTTGAAATGTGGCTGCTGCTCCATTCAACCCAAATGGCATTCTTTTCAATTCATACAGCCCCCACGGGGTCCTGAAGGTTGTCTTCACTTGATCTTGAGCTCTTAGGTGTATTTGCCAATATTCTTAAGCTAAATCTAATGTGGAGATGAATTTTGCCTTTCTATCCACTCTAACAAATCTTCTCTACCTGTGGCATAGAGAAGGCATCAAAATGTGTTATCAGATTGAATTTTCTACAATCTATACACAGCCAGATGGTTCCATCACCCTTTGGTACTGTTACTAGCAGGCTCCACTATGGACTCTGCAAGGTAGTGATGACCCCTTGTTGCAACATTCTTTGTAACTTCTCCTTAAAGGGCTGATACTTATGACAGGGGATCTGCCTCTACTTTTCCCTTACTATGCGTCCCTCAGGAATAATTATTTTGTGTTTCACTACCCATGCCTCACCTAAGTTCTCACTGAATACATCTGAGAATTCCCTTATCAACTTCTTTAATGGATCACACTGACCTTGAGTAAGATGCTCTCCTGACCTAATGTCCTGACCTCCTGATCCCTTTTACCCAGCTTCCAGGCCCAATTCCTCCCCTTCCCCTATTGGAGTTATTAAAAAAACCTTCTATCTCTCTCCATAGTTTCATTCATTGGAGTTATTAAAAAACCTTCTATCTCTCGCCATAGTTTCAAGAGGTTAGCATGAAAAATTTGTTTCTCTTGTATATGCCCTGAGCGCAGTCATTCATAGTTTACGGGACCTACCCATTTCAAAAGGTCCGTGCCAGCATTTCAAAAACTTACTGGTCAAACTAGGTAATAATACTAACACCCTTTGTCCTACTTTAAATTCCTGCTCTTGTGTTGCCAGTCATATCTTTCCTTTTGGCACTGTTTTCATCTGTCCCCCTGCCAGTCTATTCACTTTACCCAACCTTTCCTTTAAGGAGGTTACATATGCATCGAGTCTACTCTACTCTCTTTACCATCTTCCTACCCCTCCTGTACAATATCAAGGAGACTCCTAGGTGTGTGACCGAATACTAATTAAAATGGGGCATATCCTAATGAAGCCTGTGGGGCCTCCTGTACTTCAAATAATAATGGGGGTATTAAGAGATCCCATCTTCCTGGATCCTCTTGTGTACATCACTTAAGCATCCCCTTTATGGTGCCATTAAAGCATTCTACTAACTAGTTGGTTTGAGGGTGGTAGACTGAAGTTTTCAGGTGTTTAATTCAGAGAATTTGACACACACCTTTCAGAACATTGGACATGAAATTGGTTCCCTGGTCCGTCACTATCTCTTTGGGGATTCCTACCCAGGCTATCCAGTTGAGCAGCATCTCGGCCACCTATGACCCTGTAACTGACTTAAGCAGGATTGCCACTGGGAATCTTGTAGCATACTCTATGAAGGTTAAGATGAATTGATGACCCCCCAAACTCTTTGGGAGGGGCCCAATGACATCCATCGCTATACAGGAAAAAGGTTCCCTGATGATGGGCATAGAGATCATCAGGACCATAGGAGCTTTCTCTCTGCTGTCTCCCGGCATCTCCTGGCAAGTCCAGAGAAGACTGGTTTCCCTGAGGGGAAAACAGTCTCCTGCTGTGTTTCTCTTTCACAATATCCAATCTAAAGTTACTTTGCAAATCGTTATTCTGTGACCTCCTCTCTACAGTAAGAGAGAAAAGGTGTTTCCCTTTTCTTTATGGCAAACCTTCAGATACTTGAAGACTTCTATCATCTCTCTTCTTCAGCACCTTTTCTGCAAGCTAAACATGCCTATTTCCTTAAACTGCTTTTGATGAAACAAAAGGACTGTTTTACCATTGTTTTACCATTGCCCTGAATGTAAGATACCCATTCACACTATGCAAACTATGAATAAAAAAGCACAGTGGGATAACAACACTATACTCTCTTTAGTACCATATAAATTGCTAGCACATGATAAATGGGTCTTCAACTCACTTGAATTTAAGATTGAGTTGCATACTAGAGCAATGCTTCAGTAACAGGATAAGAGAGACAAGGCGGCAATCTTCACTGTGCCTTGCCATGCAAACTTCACAGCCCAGCACTCCTTTCATCAGTCTGCATGGCCACATTTGTGCAGTGTTAATAGGAAACATAACTCAAATCTGGATTCTGCCTTCAGGGATGATGTATTTGTTTCAGTCTGCTGGAGACTGAGGAAAAGTTCTTCTCTTCCTTCAAAAGAAATATAATTTTTTCTTTCTTCTTTCCCCTCAGACCTCAAATGAGAGCTTCAACTGGAAGCTCTGTCTGGGAGTAACTGGGAGTGATGATCAGCACAGTCCCTAGGAACCTATTTGCCATTACCTGCAAGCATCATTAGGCTCATTTCAGACCATCTGCCTTCTCAGTAACATCAGGGATTAGTAGCAAAGTTGCTAGTGTTATACTTAATGAACCTCAGGTTGATTTGCATTTTCTGTCTCTGAGGTGGCACATCATTTGGAGAAACTAGTACAGGTTTGCAAAAATGATAGATGGGGAGAGTTTCTACCTCAGTGTAAATACTCATCTCTACCCAGATTGACAAAATTTTCACATTCTTTGCGCGCACATCTTCAGACACAAACAGTCCCCTCTTCTTCAAAACCAAACTCAGAACAAAAGCAGTTGTTTTTATAAGGATGTCACTCAGTTCCACTTCTGGAATCTTCACTAGATTATAGCTGATTCTATAATGACCCAACACGTTCTCTTACTAATGGTCATGTCACTCAAATATTAATTAAAATGGCATCACATAGATATGAAGTTGAAATAGATTATTTCAAAATGTATCTCTTGTATACATTTTTGAGGGAAAAATTACTTTTTAGAAACAAATATTTGCACAAAAATTGACTTTGGTTCTATTTGATTACTTTGTCTTTTATAGCTGTCAACTTTTTAAGTCTATGTAACAAAATAGTAGGTGCTGTCAACAAAACTTTCTCTTCAGCAAGAATGACAGTGATTAGTAATGAAATAAGTATGTTTAAGCAGTAAGATTTTTCTTTTAAAGGAAATTGTACAGCTCTAAAAAAGAAGAGGAGAAAAAACGTTTCTTTTAAACGTTATCAGAGTTATTTTTTGAAGTATTCAGACACCATCTTTTTCATTACTTAGCTTTTCTTGTCTTAAAATCTTCCCTCTTTTTGTGGGCAATAAACATGGCTGCATCAGTGTCATCTCAACTCTGAGGGTTTCATGCAGCTTTCATGCTGCTGACCCCTACAGCTCCCATAAGGCACAGTGGCACATAAGGAGGTGCTGTAGAGGTTCTCTCTCTGCCACACTTAAAGTCCTTACCCTTTTCTTTCCAGCCACGCATGCTATTTTGCATGGAGCAGAACTGTGCTAGCTCCTTCATCAGGGAATGAGTACTGGACATTTCTTGGCAGGGCTTGAGGCACACTTTTTTTTTGTTAGAAAACCATTACATTTGGTAGAAAAATAGCAATTCAAATAGGGAGCTGAATCTTGGTTCCATCCATTTCTGATCTTAGCAGTAGGTCAACAGTGAGACAATTCTCAGGTGTAGAAAAGGTCAGGAGAGAAAAACTAGAAAGCTATGTTGAATACATGCTATCAGGAGCTTCCAAGTGCCTCATGCTGCCAGAAATACAAATTTGCATATGATCCCTTGAGAAAGTATACTTTTTATCTAAGCCCTAACTTCATGTGTACATTTGTGGTACTGGTGGATGAGGCTGGGAATGACCTAAGTAACTAATTTTTGTCAAGATTTATTATACATTATTGTAGCAGGTCTGGTCCCTGAGGGTAGCTGTAGCACCCGCTAGTGGCTATGTAAAGTCTACCTTACTCCAGCTCCTTAGTGTACTTACCTGCTATTTCACCTGCTGTACATTGATGTGTATCTTATATGAATTGGGTGGCTGCCCTTGACTCCTGTAGTGATCCTGATGTTCCTTAAGTGACCTAGCCAGACTCTCAGTCCGACTGATCTCTCTCTGGGCCCTCAGTCTCTCTCCTGGCACATCCAGGAAACTCCAGTGGTGGGGGGCAGCAACCCTAAGATGGCATTTCATCAGGTCCTGAAGCCTCTACCCCGCATCCAGATATTGGTCCTGCATAGACAAGAGACAGAAGTGTTTTGTGAGAGTTCACAAGAAGAGATAAGATGCTTTGCATCAGGGGTCCTGCACTGCCCGGACTCAGGTCGGGGGTAAGCTGTGCTCGGGTGCCCAGGGACCATGGTAAATTGGCTCCTGGATGACCCCACCCCCCATCCCCACACACTCCCCTGGGGCTGACGGGCCACTGGGTTGTTGCAGCAGGGACCCTGTCTCAATTGCCCCTTTCCCACAGTGAGCCAGACCAGGCTGTTGGCAGCACCCACTGCTGCAGCTCCAGACCCCTACCCCCACCACAGGCCAGCCTCTCTGCTGCACTACTTCCAAGCCCACAGCAACCAGGCTCTGGGCATGTGGGGCTCCTGGACAACTAGGGTGAGGGGCTGGCCACACCTCTGCCTTACCCATAGGGGGCCTCTCTGCGGAAATGCCATGGGGCTGCCACCCTCATACCACCACTGTGCCCCTAGCATGCCACTGCTGCATGTGCCCCATGTGGTGTGTGATGAGCTGTTTGTTCAAGCAGAGGGCTCCCCAAGCCACTATGACCTACTAATGATGATTCTGCTCATACCCCATGCACACCTGCACTCCTGGTTTAGGACTCTGATCTACAAAGGTTAGGGGAAAGCTCAAGCTGGCCTAGAACCCCCACCACTGTCTGGAGAACTACATGTGCCCACCCCTGCTGCCGAGGAGAACATTTCTGCTTGTACTGATATCTTCCTCAATGTGTGACAGGCCTGTGCCTGCCCAGCTGTGGGGATGCAGGCTGCTCAATAAAGTT